TTGGAAATGATTTCATGGCAAAAAGACATCGCATTAATCATATAAATGGAACTAACCAGAAATACAATGCAACTGAAAATCATCGAGTTACTCTTATCAAACATATATTTGATATGCTTTAAATTCATAAATTTATAATAATTAAATATTACAAATATTTAAATGAGACTATAAAACCAATTTTTAATCTGATTTTCGGAGGTCGAAAATTAATATTGCCAAATAATTTATGACTGCTGTACATAATTATTAACTATTTCTATATCAATTGCGTAAAAAATACAAAAAGTAGGTGAAAAATGTTTATAAGGAATAAATCCCTATCGCTAAATTTTTTGAGAATCAGTTCAGAGCACTTCGGCATGTTTCTAATACAAGCTTAATTTAATTTCACAACTTAAATACTGAAACAGTGATAAGTGGTGATAAACTATCCAGTATTATCAGAAAAAAGAGCATCGCTATACAACACTTCCTTCCTCGTATTATTGCAAAATTACCTGAGAAACGAGATAATATGTTGTGTAGTAGCAGACTCCTAATTATAATTATATTTCCATGCTTCTTGTTGAAATTGCTTGTTCGTCTCCAGCCGAAATTTGATTTTGACATACAATTGCAAAAGAGACGAGATAATCAGTTTCATAAATAGACATGGATTGGCATGGCAATATCGCAGGAAATTTGATAAAATTTTACGATTTAGGAATTTTTCTAGGCTATAATTTTTCTTTTTTATATTCAATAAATTTTCATATTCATTCTTTTTTATATTTTTTACATTTTTTTTATTTTTTATATTTAAATTCCTTTTTTTAACATCTCTTACCATTATGCTGGTTCTATTGGCTAAGGCGTTTTCGATCAAGTCTATCTGATACCTGTAAGTAACAAAAGCCACTGCTTTTCCTATTGTCTGTGGCCAAATGTGGCTGAGCTGCCTATGTATTTGAAAATCTCTTCTGGTTGAATTAACTTAAGTCTTAATTAATCATTAAAGTTTTCGAAGTCATTACAAAGCTCAACAAGATAAGTTAGCAGTAAATATCAATTCATTTATAAGTGAAGATTGATATTGCAAGATTTAATCCACCCATGAAATATGCCCAAGGGTATCTATAATGAGGCAATCAAACGTTTTTATAGCTTTTCAATATATTTTATATTTAATGGCCATGTTTTCAACTAAGTTGGTTGCACTACAATCAAATAGAACATGGTGATTTCGCAATGATCACAGTGGGATTTCGCATTTTAAACTGCATTCGGGCTGCAATTTTCATTTTTATTTTTGCTTGGTTATTTGATATGATATGATAACTAAAGTCCACCATTTTCTCAATTCATGATGAATAAAATAAGGTATTTCACAAGCGTCTGGCATATGAAAAAAACGATCTGAAATTAGGAATTTGAAATTAGAAAAAACGATCTTAAATCTAAAATGATCTAAAATTATTTCCATAATATTCCACAGATATATTAATATTATATATTAATATTATCAGTTTGTCAGATTTTTCCACACTGATAAGATTGCAAAATAGAGCTATTTTTTTATTTTGTTATTTAATAGTTTTTCTTTACAAATGAAGCTAATTTTTAAAAAATTATAAAAAACGAAATTTACTTATAAAAAATTCATTAAAAATTAGTTGTTTAACGACCGGCCAAAAAATAGTTTTAAATCTAAAATATTTTAATCGTAAGAAAATTTTTATAAAATTTAAAAATAAAATTTAAAAATTTAAAAATTTATTTAAATTTAAAATTTATTATTCCAGAAAATTTAAAAAGCTAAAATTATTCGATAAAAAAGAAATTATTCAGGATTCGTTATTCCAGAAATTTGGAGAATAAATTTGTATAAATTATAAAATAAATTTGTATAATTTATAATTGTATAATTTGTATAATAAAATTTCACTTAATTTTTCCAGTTTTCAATAAATTAATTTTTCTATGAAAAAAATTCTTTTCCTTCAGAAAAAAGAAGAAAAATGTTAATTTGTAAAATTCATTTTTCAAAATATTCTTCCTGCAGAATGTTTTCGTTAATTCCTTCATTGCCTTTTTCCTGAATTTTTTCTTTTCTTACTAATATTTACTTATCTTTTACGATGAAATGAATCTTTATTGCCAATAAATAATTTAAATTTTATGAATTTATTACTTTGTTCGTTCATTTAAACCAATATGAATAGTTAACTATTTACTGCACGCTTTGCTGACGTTCTGTAAGAGAATCACGAGGAGAATATCTGTAAGAGAATCACGAGGAGAATAATTTTTTAAAAAAATTTCAGCAGAATTTTATTCAATAAATAAATTTTCATGAAAAAAATTGATAATTTGAGTCACCGTATCCATAATTAATGCATGAATTCACCGATTATTTTTAGTGATTATAATTTTCATTTACAAATGTCAATTGTTCATTGGCTTTGGATCGTCAGTTGTATTTCTAATCCATGTGAAAAAGTAAACTCACCGCGGATCGATCGCGGATTGTGCAAGCAGTTATTATGCGATTTCGAAATTCTATTATTGCAAATATTATTGCTTTTTTTATTTTTACAAACAAAAAGTTTAAATAATAGCCGTTGAAAGAACTGTAATAAAAAAATAAAAATCTTCCATTTGAACTGCATAAAAATTTCTGTTGACAAAGAAAAAGGTGGTCTGCAATTAGTGATTTTTTATTTTATATTTTATTTCTTAGTATATTTATGCGGGAAAGATTGGAAAAAAATTATTGCTGTTAATATTTATAATAATACAAAAGAATTAAGAGAAGATTTAAAATAAGAATATTAAGAATCAAGAAATTTTAACGATTGAGACCAATGCGAAGATAACAACAAATTTTTTGCACGAATTCTATTCAATTTTATCAGAAGCGATATCAACTAAATGAATAATTGAATATAAGAAGAGTTATCTATTAAGTTATATATTGCAGTGAATTGTTTACATGTATATCTGAAGTTTGATTTATTGAAAACCAGGCAAGCAACCCGACAAACGCCATGTTCTTGTATTAATAACAACAGGTAAAATAAATAATTAAAATAATCAATGACAAAAATAAAGAAAAAGAAAATATGACAAAAATTAACGATTTAAAGAGGAAATTGCAAAATAATATAATATGATTGTATATTTATTTCGTATATTCATTGATAGTGGCTGTTATAACGTTAATTTTTGCTCAGCGTTAGTTTTATGTAAAAGGTGATTTAATGTAGAATAGAAGATACTTATTGGTTGGATTCTCGCACTCGCACTAAATCATACAATAAGGCTAAACAATTATGGAAACAGAAAAAGATTCGAATTTCATGATCGGTTTTTAACTTTGCAGGCATTTATATTATTATTTATGGAGAAATTATATATTGTAATCTTTAAAATTTGCGCTTAACATTTGAATATTCAAAATATGAAAAAAGAAGCGTAAAAATTAGCGCATCGTTTGATAAATATTAATAATAACAATAATAACAATTAATAATAAAAGTAATTAATGATAATAACAATAAAAATTAATAATGATAATTAATAATAGTAATTGATAATAATAAATAATAATTTATAATTATTATAATTTTTACAATAATAATCAATAATTAATAATAATATTAATACTGATAATAATAACAACAATAATAATATTAAGCATGCAGCTTAATATTCATTAAGACAATGTATAGTCAATTAATAGCCATAAATAATGGAAACATGAAATATTGTTTTGCTTTCATGGACAAATATCAGATATTTTAATTCCTTCCATTTATATTATGTTATATTTACATAATTCTAAGAAAAAATTCGAGAAAGTACGATTCGAATCAAAGGAATAATAAAAATATCTTAAATTAATTTTAGTTCTTTGTTTTAAAATTTAAGAAAACTTAGCTTATTATAACAGTAATATATAATAATAGCAATAATTAATGATGATGACAATAAAAATTAACAATAATAAATAATAATAATTAATGATAATAATAACTTATAATAATTAAAATAATTTTGTAAAAGTTTAGCTTATTGTTTGCAAAACTTTTAAAAATGCTTGAGAAATAGCATTTTAAAAAATGCAAAAAAACAAACGATCGCTCACGAAATAATTTTCTTTAAAAAATAAAAAATTCAAAATTTTAAAAATGTATAATTTTAAAAGAAAATCGATCTAAAAAAAAATTTTTTTTTCAGATCAATAGAATAATAATACGACCTTAATGCTTAATTCCACCCCTATTCTTTCTTTAAATCCTTAAATTACAGATCTTTAAATCAATAAACCCAAGTCTAAGCTAATACATATATTTATATATATATATATATATATATTTGCAAAGTGCAGGTGTTCAATTTTTTGGTAAGTGTTCAATTATTTTAATTAAAATATAGCACAGAAACAGGCAGAACTTTCTAAATCAGCTTCAAATATATTAATTGGAAATGCTGTGAGACCTGTTTTCTAATATTTTTCTAATATTTCTAACTGTTTTCTAAAAAAAAAATTTTCAAAAATTACCAAAAGTTATAAGTTATTATTATGTTAAAATTCGAAAAGAAACCTTTCTACTAAGTCGTTTCGAATTAATCTAAAACAAATTTTTTTTTCTAAACATGAATATTTCATTTTTTTTAAATATTTTTTAATTTTCTTCTTAATTACTTACCGTTCCCAACAGATATCATATAAAATATTTCGCTTAATTGTTAATAATATAATTAAAGGAAGAAATTTTTATAGAAATTCGATGCAAAATTTTATAAAAATATATACTTGAAATAGCAGTTTTTATTGAAAAAAAGAAATATAAATTAGAATTCCCATATTGAAATAAGACACAAAAAAGTTATGATAGAGCTATTGATAATTTGAAAATTATCAATAAAAATCATAAAAATATAAAAATTGTATTAAAAAAATAGTATCATAAAACATATTGCAAATATCAAATGTATCAAATAATATCTAAAAATTATGATTGCTTTATGCAACGCCCCTTAATTTCGACAAATCCATCATTACAAGCACAGAATTGAGTGCAAGCAAATCGGTTTTGCTGTTCGACGGGATTTTTCCAAATCGAAATTATTTTCATATTTCTGCCGCAAGCCAACTGAGTTTGTCGGCAATCGGAATTGTAAAATTTCTCATTAATTCTCGGCAAACTAAAGTTTCATCAAATGAGGAAATTCATGCAATAAAAAATTTCATCTCCATATTTCCTAAGATTTCGCGATGATAAATTTTTGGTGAAATTTTTGATTATCGAAATTTATGAAAAGATGACAAATGACTCACTCGGATGCTATAAAATCCTCAGTTGTCGTTGTTACCTCTCTAAAGATCGAATGCCTTAAACATTTGCCATCCTTTTCGACAAATCCATATTCACATTCACATCGTATAAAGCAGGAATTCATAAGACTTTCAGTAGCTAAATTGAATACCATATTAGCGCCGCATTTATAGCCAATTCGTCGACACGTTGCATCATGAATAACTTGCCCAAGATGACAGTTTTCTATACCACACTAGAATAACGAAAGGGTTACGCGAAAATTCGAAACATAAAAGGAAAATGCTATAATTCTTTACTGTGCAATTGGCTATATTTTTGATTCTTTATTTTTCCATTCTTTTTTTTTCTAAGCAATTCTTGTTGGAAAAATTTGGAATTGGGTTTTCATTCCTTAAAGCCTATTCCATTAGATATTAGATATTCACAATCTTATCAAAAAGAAATTCAAATTTTGATTGGTGGTTCAACCAATAAAAAAGTTCGAGAATTATAAATTTAGCCATTGGCTTATCATTGCACAAAATCATTGGATTATCATCACGTAATAAAAGCCCGAAGATGGTGCATGGTGTGGGTCAACTTCAAGTATAATTTCAAACGAATTATGCAAAATCCGCCATTTTATCATATTTTATTAATCTCTTTTCCTTTTTCTTTTCCTCTTCATCACATGCTTGTTTCATATTTGTTGTATCCAAGACTCCTAAAAGAATGGTCTGCAGAATTCCTGCGGTCTATAAAAATGCTAAGGCATGGATTGCATATTTAATAGGGTGTGAGAAAATCAAGATAATATTTATTACATCAATCTATCTAATATTTTAAAAAAATCGTAATTAGAGAATTATCTAAAAAGAATTTTAGTTCTAAATTAATAATTTATAGTTTTGTGGCAAATTTTTTGAATTGCGCTTAATATAATGCATTAATAATAATAATAATAATAATAATAATAATAATAATAATAATAATAGTGATAATAATAATAATGATAATGTAATAATAATTGTGATAATAATGGTAATAAGTAATAATAAAATAATACTAATGATAACAATAATATTAAATAATAATAGTTTGCTTCAGCTTCAGCTTCCTTTATATTAAGATATAAGTTAATGCAAAGGCTGACCTCGCTGTTTGATATGGCTCGCTCATCAAATACTTTTATGCATTGTCCGTTGTACTCAATGAAATTATTATTCTCACAACTACAGCGCAATATGCAATTTGTAAACCATGATGCACTACTGAAAGGTCTTAGTATCATGACAGTTTGAAATACCATATTAGTTCCACACTTTTTACCATTTTGAGTACATGAGGAGGCTACAATAATTTCTCCAAGAGCGCAATGTTTCTGCTGTCTGCACTAAAAACCAATATTTATTTTGCAATTAGCAGCATAAACAAAGCGATATTTTGGTCATAATTAAAACATAAATTCCGTTCAGTGAATATACAAAAATATTATTTGCATATGAATTAATAAAATTAATCATTTGCTTTTCTGAGAGCGTTCATTCATTCATTCAACATTTTTTAATTCACCTAGCTGAATTGTCGAATTGAAAAAATTTCCTCAGAAAATAGCTTCGCGCTATATATTTTTCGCTTAAATGTCGCATTATATATTTTTCGCTTAAATGTCGAAATTGAATACGCTTGAAATTCTATTAGAATAGGATAGAATATAAATATATAAATCAATCGAAGAGATTTATTTCACCTTTCTTTGATCAGTTGTTTTTTCAACACATTCACCACTGTTTTCAATGAAATTGCCACTATCGCATTCACATCGTAATAGACATTTCCTTAAATGACGAGTACCATCCGTATATTTCATATATTTAGAGATAATTTTAAATTTCATATTAGTCGCACATTTCGTTTCTGCTCGCTTACATCCATAGTCCACAATAGTTTCGCCAATAGTGCAATTTTCTTTTTTGCACTGCAAATTGTCGTTTTTTTTTTAAAAAGTTTTAGAATTAACATTTTAACTTCTATATTACATATCGAATATTCGTTTTTTTTTTGTTTCACTGGAAACTGCCTTAATTTTCTTTTTTACAGATTTAATTAGCGTATGCGGATATAATTTAAAAAAGAGAGAATTGAAAGTTCACCTTGGAGTTTTGCAATTGAGTGCCATTTTTCTCAGACGAGATTTTAAGACATTGTCCATTCACTTTGGTCAATTCTGCATTTGCACATATACACTCTAAAATACACTTCGCCAAACTAATACCAGGTGGAGAAAAAACTTCACTGACAATTTTGAATATCATATCATTTCCACAACTTTTTCCATCATAATAGCAATTCGACACGAAATTTTCGTCGGTAGCGCAATATCGTCCATTGCAGATCAAACTATCAGCCATTTTTGCAAAACCCTTAAAACTATATTATTTATATAAAGCAAAAAAAAAAAATACAAGAGGTAAAAAATATGAAATTTTTTTTGAATTTCGTTTAAATTTAATAAGTGGGTAAAAAATTGGAAATATTTAAAACTCAGATTTTATCATTTATCATTTGTTATAATTATTTGAAGACTATAAGATTATTATTGCTATAAGATTATTATCTGTAAAATGAATTTTTATAATCGTATTTGGTCTATAAAAGTCTTGTTCAACAAAAAAAATTTAACAATTTTAGCGATAGTAGTTGACCAAAATTATGATAAAATTATGATAAGTTGATAAAATAATTTACTAATCATATTGATATAAAACCGCTTATATTTTATATAGCTGTAATTGAAGTCGTTTTATTACGTTTTATTATTAAATTTTTCTATTTGGTTAATATGAAAAATTTAATTAGAAATTTAGTTAAAAAATTTAGTTTAAAATTTAGTTGTATCATTTCAAGACTATATTAAAAGTACCAATCGTTGATGACCTGAATTTCTTAAGGAACGAAGCCCAAATTTGCTTTTTTTCTTCGCATCATTAACCTTCATTGACAAAAAAAAATAGCTAAGAAAATTATAATTATTAATATAATTATTTATTATATTATTTGTTATAATATTATTTTATATTATTATTATATTATTATATTTATTTAATGATGAAGTAAAAATAGTTCCAAATCCAGTGGACAAATGAGTCATTGGAAAAAATTTACTTATTCATATAGATCAGTAGAACTGGCTGAATTAAAAAAGAAAACAGAATTTCACGGTTTATTTCTGAAAGTATTCAAAGTGTCGCAAGTTGAAAATATTGTTGTTTCGCAAACGACTAATAAGCCTGTATACTAGCATGAATATTTTATTTTTTTTTAAGAGCTCTCACCATTACTGGTTAAACTCGGTCCACTGGTTTGTCATATCGGGCAATATGCCAGGGAGTATCCTTGGCGATAGAAATACAGGTAAATCACCAGCACCACCCAGATTTTTGCACAGGTTTACTCTTGCGGGGAATCGAACTTTAGCATCAACGCTTCCAATTAGGCAATTAGCATGAATATGGCAATAACTGCATAAATAAATGAAAACTAACAAGAATTATGACGAAACTGAAAACCATAGCGTACACTTCTTGTTAAACATATATTTTATTTATTTCAAATTTCATTCAATATATAAATGGATTTATTACGAAAAAATTTCGCGAAAAAAGATTTTGCGATAAAATTGTTATTAATCCGTTTTTTGACCAAAAATTAATATCGTAAAAAAAAATTTTTTTTTTTCGATATTTATAATCAAAATGATTAAATTATAATTTATAGCGAAAACTATTCATTTCTGATATTTATTTACTATTTAGAGAATGTGAAAAGTTGGTAAAAAAATATTTTTTTGTCGATATTTATAATCAAAATGATTAAATTATAATTTATAGCGAAAACTATTCATTTCTGATATTTATTTACTATTTAGAGAATGTGAAAAGTTGGTAAAAAAATATTTTTTTGCACATATTTTTATTATTTATTATTATTTTGCATATTTCATCGATAAATTTCTTTTCTATCATTTATTCATTTTGTTTGAAAGCTAATTTAGCGCACTTCTAAGAAACATTTAAATATCAATTTTTTTCATTTGTTTATATCAATTGTTTTATTTTAATTTTCTTTTTAAAATTATTATATTATTACGATACTATTATTATTTATTATTATAATATTATTATTACTATCTTTATTATTATTACTATCATTATTATCTTTATTATTATTACTATTATTATTATTTTATATTATACTGCAGTCAGATGAAATGCTGATAAACAATTCTTGATCATTTTAGTTTTACATGACTGTATAAAATTTCTGCAAGAAACTTATTCATACCTCATATCTCATGATTGAACGATGTCTGAATGTGACTATTGTCACGTTGAGTAAAATAATTTGAAATAAAACATCTTATAGAAAAAATTATTAATTATACTTATTATTTTTTGTTTTATTAAACAATTGATTTTTATTAAAAGAATCCTCACTATTGCTGGCAAAACTCGCTGGCATGTCGCACTGGACAAATATGCCCGGAAAGTCTCTTGACGATAGAAGTACAGGATTTTGGAACAGGTTTACTCTTGCGGGGAATAGGAGATCAGCATCGATGATTGAATGATGACCAGTTGATTACTGGAGTTCATTTTCTTCCATGAAATTTGATTTCATATTTGCTGTATAGCAGTAGCAGTAAAGGAGAATTTTATTCAGAAAAAAAACAGTTTCATTCGACAATCCGAATCATTCATAGCAATAAATATCGCAGAATATTAAGAAATTATTTAATTTAATATTATTTAATATTTAATTTTATGGCGATTCATCATCATTTATAAGAAGCCAGTCATTGATCTATTCCACAATCCACCTTCGCTTAGAAGCTAACTAATTATATTAAAAATTTTGTCATAGAGTTTATCACTACGCATAGAATTATTTTTAAATTCTATGATGGATGGCTTCAAAAGCGAAGAGAACCGTTAAGAGAAACCTGGTCTGATACAATCGAAACAGATTCTGAACATATAAGTCTAACTACTGATGAGCCTGGGAAATATTAGATATGGCTTTTGGACTGAGCTTGCAAATGCTTCACGCAAATAGCATTAGTCAGCCTCAAAGGTAATAGTGCGGATTGTTGAAAGAAGTCATGATAGCAAAAAGAATATGAACTGCTCTCGCCTAAATTATGGTGATAATTTGAGGAAATAAATATTCCTGCCGATAAAGTCTAAAAATTGTGGAAACCTGCAAACATAAAATTAGATTTTGCATTCACCGTTTAGCAATAGGTCTCGTGCACTTCCATTCTTAACTGAGAATAAACAAGGATATGTCAATAGGAAATTAAATGAATATTCTTCATATTTACAAGAAAAAATTAGATTTGCAATATTTATTTTCTCATTCTATAATCGCATTCAAAAATTAATTTTCCAAGCATCCTGCAAAAATAAAAAATAATAATTTGAATAATTATAATACGTTAAGAATTTCTTCTATCAACCACTGATGATAGAATGTTAATCATCCATTCTTTCTGTTCGAAAAAAAAAATTTACTTTTTTTAAAATTTTATTAATATTTTAATATTTATATTTTTTTTTCTATTAGCAATAACTTGGCGATAATTTTATCATAATTAAGGAAACAAACCTATGGTGATTGGACTCAAGTGCGAGCGATTTTTGAGAATTACAACATTCGTGTAACAATTTCAATAAATAAATAGTTATTTTAACTAATTTTCCAAATATTATTAAAAGCTAATTAGTCAGCCGATTATTTGAAAATTTCTGCCTTAAAAATTTAAGCTACTGAATTGAAATTCATTTATTTATTTATTAATCATTTCATTTTCATTTAATTCCTTTGGATGTCTTTGCTCAATCAGAAATCTAAAATTATAAGAGTTCTTTTCACAAAGACCGCTGTTCTTAGTTTAAAATTTTTAAATTCTTAAGAAAAAAAATTCATTTTTTTTTTAAAATTATATTAACTAATCATGAACCATATTAACTAATTATATTAATTATTCTGCATTAGTAATCCAGTTAGCTTAATTTATACAATAAAAAAATTAAGGAAAACTCGAAATTTCATTCTTTTAATTTATTAGATTATTAAAAACTTATTATTATTCATAAATCTCATCAATCCTTCGATTTGTCTAATCAATTAATTGAATGTTTAAACAAAATGAAGAAATTTGATAAAATCATTCGTGGAAAATTCGCATTCAAATACAGCCAATTTAAATTTAATTTTTAAATAAATTTTTATTAATCCAACCGATATGAAAATTACAGAAAATTGCAAAAAATTGAAAAATTTTCATCAATTTTCTTCTTGAAAAGTGGAAATTTGCATATAGCGAGAAATTTATGCAAGAATATGTATATAGGCAAAACCATTTCATGAAATATATAAAAAGCTTCACTTGATAAGCCTCTTTTTTATTTTCACCGAATATTTGATGTTGTTGTATAATTTAAAATGCAAATAAGTATAATTTAAAATGAAAATTTGTAGCAAAACAAACTATAACATAAGTTTAGCGATTTCTATAAAAGCCAAAAGCTTTATAAATTCAGAAAGCAGACAGAAAATTTTTGCAATAAAATTGTCGCAGAATGCTTTTAGATTTATCTCGAATTGCATTTATTTGATTTTTCTGAAAAACAAAATAAGATTAATGATCTGTAATATCGTGAAATCGTGAAAAATTGCATTAAAAAGATGGATTTATAAGAATATGAAAAGTTTAAGAAAAAACTCGTTTTGCTGATAAAAAACATCGTTTTACAAGCCAAAATAATTAAAAAAATTATTTTAATTATAAGAATTAAAATAAAAATATGAAAAAAATGTTACTTCGTGCTTATTCCTCGTCTTTTTGTCAAAATTTGCCATAATTGTTATTATTTTTTAAAAAAAGCTTTTTTTTTAAGCTCTTTGCACCAATTAGAAATTTTTAGATTAAAAACTAGAAACAACGCACTATAATAAAATATTTTTAAAATAATAATAAAATTAATGGTTAATTTATTTCTAATTTTTTTTTAGGAGCTTAAGTCAACAATGTTATTACAATTTTTCGCATTACTTATGGTGTTATAAGTAAATATATAAGGTGAAATAAAGAAAATAAAAGAGTTTTGGGTTTTAATCATTTTAGATATACAACAGCCAAAAAAGAAAACGGCAAGCTAAAAACGAGTGAAAATTCATATAAAATCATTTGAAAGAATAGATTTTAGCAAAGTATTAGTAGTAAAAGTATTTTAATTTATACCTAAAAATTGCTAAACTCGTTATGTTTACAAAAACCGAACAATAGAAATTAACAGAAGTGGTATCCATTATAAAATAAAAGGAATACAAAGCGAGAAATATATTA